CCGAAAAATGTCAGCCTAAATCAAAGACAACGAAAGCGGACATGATTTGACTCAAAAACGGACAAACATCCTCTCAAAGATTCAAAAACGGTCTTCGTTCGACCGCATCGGTGAACCTTGACTCGAGCACAGCCCGATCGATCGCCTCAATATTGCTCGAGCTTTTGAAAATGGTCGAGCCATTTATTTAGGGTCCAAGACTGTAGAATATTATCTTGCTTGCGACCGTATCTCGCGTTAACCTTTGTACCTCTGAATGGGATATTCTTTGTGAATGTTATCTAAATTAATTTAATTTTTTGCTTAAATTATTGTACTGAATTATCTTTTCTCCGCTTCAAATTCAATTTTTCTTTTCATTACAACTGTTTTGTGCTATTGCTTTTTTCCATTGCTTTTCAATAAATTTGAAAATTGGTTTATTTTGCGTTCGTTTATATTCACAGGTACTCTATAAAGAATGTACAATGCACCAGTTTTTATCGCATCAAACCATTTTATAAGGATAGGATGGGTAAAAGAGTTCAGCTGTCATGCAATTACAATTGGTATCATATCACGCACGCAATATATTGACTCTATTGAAGTAGCTTTTTTGACTAGTTTTTATTTTCTTCAGCCGATGAAAATTAAAAAGCTTGACTGAAATAGCCAAAAACTTGGTTGGTGCTTTGGCGCAAATGCTTTTGTTTCTTATCAACCAAAAACTCAAAGCTTTTCGTCTCCGAAAAAAATGGATCGCTTGTTATCAATATTGTGAACATGTTTGTCTCATTCAGTTTTCCAGATGATTTTTCTTATGTTTCTAGCATCAAAGTTTTCAAATTCAGTTTTGAGTTTCCTCATTATGGACTCTTTTTAAGATCATCAAATTCCAAAAAAGTCATGTTTTGTTTGATTCTATTTTTATCATCAATAGGATAGATAACAGTGGCGGATTTAGGGGGGGGGCGGAGGGGGGCGGACGCTTTTTCCTTCTCAGGGATTCGACCCCCTGCCGACCCAAAGGGTCCCCCCTTTGATACTTTTTCAGAAATCCATTTTTAGCCGACCGACCCTAAAATTTTTCTAAAGGCGCCTTGGGCGCCAATATATACTAACTTTGAGGGGGAGCGCGCGCCAAAAAAACGCGATTTTTTGTCAAAATCTTTCAAAAAGTGCCCAAAAACGGCTCTACTGACTGTTTTTCAAAAATTTGCCTGCGGCCCTGAAAATTTTGCTAAAATATGGGCAAAGCAGTGCTTTGGGAGAGCTCGAAAAATCAATTTGGTTGACCTAAAAAAAAGGTCGTCAAAATTTTGGAAAATTTTTTGAAAATCCGCCCCCCCCCCCCCCCGCCTCTAGAAAATCCTAGATCCGCCCCTGATAGATAATGAAAAGCTTTGGCCCAAAATTCTATTTTCCACGATCTTATCTCCTAGTCTGAATAAAACTTACCCTCAAAGTTTTTGAAATAAAATTTGTCATGACAAATCGAACTAAAGGCTTTAGGATGGTCTAGAACGTTTTTTATATTTAATTGATTGATGCATTGGTGCCAAATTTTTGTTTCAGAATTGGTAAACGTTTTGAAACAATCTTTTAAAAAATGATTTTTCAATCGCTCTCAAATTCGACTTTTAAGATGATGTTTTGCAACGATTAATGAAATTGCAAGTGGAGGAACCCTTTGTAGGATAGAAGTGTTTAAAACATTTTTAACCAAAAACCACAAAAAAAAAACTGCAAGAAAAATTCGCCCTTTTTGATATCAATAAAAATGGTGAAAAAGAGCTGCGTGCTGGAATCAAAATATGCGCGAATTCTTTCTGCTTTTAGATAATGTTTGAACTGCATAACTTTATAATGATTAAACTTCAAAAATGTTAGCAACACATCAACATCGCTTGTCATTGATGGCTTCCACGAAAAACTGGCTCGGTCAAAAACCTGTAAAATTTGAACAAGTTTTGGTATATGAGCTCTTTTCAAATGAATTATTTGGAGATACACTTTGGACCACATTTTCCACACACCACACATGCTAAATGGTTTTTCATTTGAAACCAGGGGCGGATTAAGACAATTCTGAATTTTTCTAAATTGTTTTTATAAATATTCCATGCAACAGATGGGCTGTCTTTTCTTAGTAGTTCATTTCATGTACACTCATACTTTGCAGAAGGCATGATCCATCCAGCCTTCATCTGAAAAGAAAAACGATCAATCTCTTCATTTGCTTCTATATGTAGTAATCATCCGACTATAGTAATTGTGCTCAATGAATAAAACCAAGCCCAAAATCATTGAAATCACTCAACCATTCCGTAATTTAACATATTTCGAGGTTGGAATGCTCCGCAACTCTAACATATAGGTATTGTCTTGATTGTTTACTTAAGATAAATGGACTAATTGTTCCGACTTTCGATAGGAAAGCAACGGAATATTTGTGCTCGGGGTGGGTTTTTTTTTCTTCAGACAAATTTCGACTTTTTAACTAGCCATTTTACACAAAACTGTTTTATATCACTCAAAAGGTATTGTTGGATTTGAAAAGATATTTCACCTGTGATCGTTTTTCATGAAGTTAAGGGGGTTTGAAAATTAGCATTTTGGCCAATTGGGACAATTAACGCGCGATATATTTCGCGCTTTGAACGCGTAAGCGGAGGTTTAATCCAATCTAGAAATCGTGCCAAATTGGTTGAAAGCAGCTTATTTGCCATAATTGATTAATACTAGCAGCGAAATCTACTCTTTTGTACTTTATATGGCATGTGGAGGGATGATTTTCATAAAAAAATTGTTATTTCAGAAAAAAAAATTCATTTTGTTTTATTACATTCTTTTTTGTTAATGTTATTACTGCTCCATAAACCTTAAAAGGCAGTTGGAACATTCAGGGCTTCGCCCTGATACGAGCAGTCTTGTTTTTATTTATATCCAAATAGGATCAAATATTAGTTGTCTTATTAGAAAATTGTCTCATTAAAAAATTACTTGTTCCGACTTTCGAGGAAACGGATTTTGGGCGATCGAAATGAAACTTTTTAACAATCAATTTTTTTTAACCCATTAAAGATATCGACTCCCAAAAATCATAGATATATATAAGTTCAATTCAAGGCAAAACCAAAAAGAATCGAGAAGTATTGATGACCTTAGAAGCTGCGGAAAAAGTAGAACAATCTACTTTTGGATGAACCATGATTCTAGACGCAGACTATAGCCAGAGTCAGATAGTCAGACACAGTGGCGTGCGCAGGGGGGGGGGAGCTGTTGTTCGCACAAGTTTTTAAATTTTTGTAGAACTTTTTTAGGTCGATCAATTTGATTTTCGGAGCTCTCCAAAAATACTCTAAGGACCCTATTTTGTCTCAAACTTTCTGCATCGCAGGCAAAATTTAAAAATAAAACAGGCCAAAAAACGCCGTTTTTGGGCACTTTTGAAAATTTTGACGAACAAATGCGTTTTTTGGGCGCACGCTCCTCCCTCAAAATTAGTTATATTGGCGCCAAAGGCGCCTTTAGAAAAATGTTGAGGTTGGCCAGCAAAAATTGATATCGTAAAGTTATACCACAGGGGGACGCATTGGAAAATTTTGGCAACCAGAATTGAGGAGGGGAGGGGTGAAGTTGCGAGACGCCCCCTTCCCCCTCTGCACGCTACTGGTCAGACAAGACTCTTCGTATCAAGGCGAAGAGCTGAATATTCCGACTGCCTTTGGTTGAAGTGTTTATTTAAATATTCAAAGATCAAAATCCCCATTATGTTGAATTTTGATTTTTTAAGTCCATTAACAAATGGTTTGATTGTTAAAACAGGTGAGTTTATGTGCGGGGTAGCTCACTCATAGAGTAATTTCAAATAAGGTACACCGTCTGTTCGCCACGCTATCCTATTTTTTGGCCGGATAGGTTCGTGCAACTTCTTAGTCTAATACCAATCTTAATCTTACTCTTATATCTCCTAGTCTCAAAAGATCGGGGCAGTACAACAGTGCCGAAGTACAACAGTGCCGAAAAAAAATTAAGTTCAACAGTGCCGAAAATGAAAACTTTGTTCAACAGTGCCGAAAATATGAACGAATTTCAATAGTGTATTCTGGTATTTGCGAGTTAGATATCAGGAACTATCTTGAAGGAGAACAACTGTCTTCTAAGTTATATTTATTTTGTTTTGTTGCTGAAACTATGAATAGTTTCAGCGTTACAAATAATTATATGTGTTAGTTATGGATCATGATTGGTTAGAAATATTTTATAGAGATAGTTTTATCAAAAATATAACTGGATATAAATACTAGTTTTAAACTGGTTCCACAGGGTAACTTTAGCAATTGAAGTATGTGCTACTAAGTAAAAGATGAAATTCGAACGACACTATATCAAGTGAAGAAGTTTACAATATTTTAAGGTGTGTTTAATTTACTTAGGCGCTTTGCCCTGGTGTAAGCGTTTTTGTTATTGCTCTAGTGACAAATTACTTACCCTCCAGTGTTGCGATGTCCAGAACTGTATAGTCCATGACATTGTTATCACTGGAGAACTGAATCACTTCTGAAAAACAAAAGAAAAACTCTATGAAAAAGATTTACAAAAAAAAGTAACCATAAAGCAAACAACTGTCAAATATCGTCAACTTTTTCAAAAAGCAGTATTTAATTTAATAAAAAGCGTATGATTTATAACCATATGATTCAAAATCACATACATTCGATAGATGCAGCAATAAAATTCAACTCTTTTGATTTTCTATAAGTTTCTCAAAACTGAATTTCAGAAAAACAACTTTATGACTTTGCAAATTAATTTCCTAGCTAATGCCCGTTAATTTTTTTTTACCTCAGTTTAATTTCATTTAGGTTATCAAAATGTACTCACTGTGTTCGTCGGCTACTTTGAACACCGTCTCACTGCAACTCATGGCCTTCATTGCGATTTGAATTGGGCCGCTTATTTCACCTAGATGTATAGAATGAGCCTTGAAGATAGTGCAGAAAGTGTTGCTAGCCGACAGACGAACAATTTGACTGCTTGCGAAGAAGTTTGTTTGACATAAATTTATCACTGAGGATTCGTCATTTGGGCACGGAACCTCTTTTGAAGAACTCTGAAGTAAAATGTTACTTCTCAGAATCTTTTGGGGCTTTTTAAGTTATATTCAATGTTTAGATTAAGACAAAAACGGTTTATCCACGAGGGAAAAGGACCAACATACGAAACTGCTATTGTGACTCTGCTTATTTCGAGATTAAAAAATGGAAGAATAACGTAGAGCTCAATGAGTTCACGTAGTCTAGCAACGTTTCCTCTACATTTTATAGTATGAATTGTTTAATATGCTGCAAGTCTAGTGGCAGATTTTGGGGCAGCTCTAGTGTGACGGGCAACTTGAGAAATTTGTTGAAAATTTTGAGAAAATTGTTTGATATTGCACACATCAATTAGAAGAATATCGCGATATAAAAACAGCTGGTGTCCAAACTGCTGGTGATTTTATTACCATGGCTTTCAAAAACAAGCACAGTTCTTGAACTTTGACAACAATCCCACTCTCAAATGACCCCTCGGGCTTCGCCGCTGTCGCTGCCCGTTGAAGTTCATCGTGAAAATTGTGCAGATTAATCAGAAGCTCAGTTGAGTGATCAAAAGGAGCGGCATGTCTATCCGAACAAGCTTGCGAAGACACGAAATACACGATGTCGTCATTGTTGTCAGCCGAATCTAACTGCAAAATCTCATCCGAGAGCGGAACTTTCGCAGAGTTTTCACACATTTCAACTTGGTCAGTCGGAACACACGCAACTCTTCTACTAATGCTACAAGAGAACATTCCAAGCACATTTGCAGGAGTCATGTATCGCACACATGATTCGGTGTTCAACTCTTCGTTGTCTGTTTCGAATATATCATCGTTGGAAAAAAGCAAAACTTTTTTCGAAGCAGTGGCGTGAACGGAAACACTTTCTTGTGTCACAGCGTTGAAATATTTGACCTTAAGAGAGTCTTTTTTTTCTTTCCGTCACACGTGAACATATATTTTATATGAATTGAAGTAAACAGTCGATCAAAACATTTAGCCTCTCTGGTTTCAGAAATTCTGTTCAACATTTATTTTTATGGTCGATATTCATTTAATGGTCGAAAGTTTTTTTTTCTTCAAAAAGTCCATATGTTCTACAACTTTCTACAAAATTACTTATACGCAAAACATTGAAAAAGTGCTATCGTTAAGCAATTTTTTTTTCTTTCCACAAATGTATTTTTTCTGATTTTTTAATCCAGCTGGTTTTGCAAGGACCTGAAGGTCATCCCAAGAATCAAACACTATGACTCTATGCCATAAAACTGGAAGAACTTCGTTATGTTTCTCATTTTGGTTTCAAACAAATTTTTTAATCTTGTCACTAATTGTCACTCATTTGTCTTAAACAGTTCAAAAAAGTCCCCACCATGAAAACAAGTAGAATGAGTCGGTTAGAACAACAAATTTAAAGCAAACGAGACTGCTTGATTGTGTATCAGGGCAAAACTCCGAATGTTCAGTGTGCCCCTTAATTCAAATCGAGTAGTTTTTGTTAAATAAATATCGAAAAACTATAAGTTTTGGACAATTTGAGCCGTACGAAATTAATACGACCAATTAGCTAACCTCAATTCAATTTGGAACGAGTTTGTTCTGCGGGATAACCCGCCACACATAAATAGTTCGCGCTACGTTTTCAGTAATATGGATAAAATCTTTAAATTGCACATAAATTAGTCCAGCAGAGCATGACCAAATTGGCAATTTTAAAATCCCAAATTTTTGCAAAAATGATTGGAGGCAAAGTATCTTTTTAAATGTTATTTTAGGGAGCCGATCTCTTAAATGGGGCATAAAATATTTTTGTTTAAAACTATTGTTTCGATCGCCAAAAACTGACTGAATAAAAAACCACAACAAGCATAAATATTGTTTTCATGGAAAGTCGGAACAAAAAAATGATATTTTTCAAAATCTTAAATGACTTTTAACAGTGGAAACTGCAACATTTTATCAATGCTGATGAATTCTGAAATGTAAAATTAAGGTTAAACTTAATAATACAAATCGTTCAAAAGTGAAATTCTTCTGTCTGATTTTTGCTGGATTTCTGAGCGATTTAATTTTACAATTGCCATTGTTTTTTTCGAGTGTTTTGTACGAGAATTCATTTGTTGGGGTCTTTGCGTTCTGAGTGGGTACGTTTTCGTTTCCGTTTTATATCAAACTGCAAAAATTGACAAAATGCCTTTTTCTTCTCAGTTTTACAATCATTTTTTGTATTGCAATTTTTGCCAAGCTCCGCTTCACCATTGCGTCTAATAAATTTATTAGAAAGTTTTCGTTCGGCGTTAATAGTTTAAATTGAACGTAAGTCCTTTAAAAAAATTATAATTTTTCAATAGTTTCAATTGAAGGCTGAAATTCAAATTTATATGAAAAAAATGGTAAGCTTTTTAGACAAAACGAGTTTCAAGTCGATGACTCGAGCCTCAAAAAAGAACGAGGAAAATAAAAATGTTTGAAGAATTTTGGAGTTCAAATTGCTCAATGAGTTTGAAGTGATCGAATAGTATGTCAGAAATCTGAAAGTTTGAAAGATTGAAGTTTCTAAAAATTTGTTTGCGACAACGGAATGTCCCAGTATCCTTGAAGACAGATCCATTAAATTACTAGTTTCATAGTTGCAAGTATTTAACCGTATCCGAACCTGTTGGCGCTATTAGAGATTCGCAGCCATTGTTGTTGTCGGCTGATTATGACAGATTATTTTTTGTTTATTCAACAATTGTTTAAGCACATAAAACTCAAATTGCTTATATGTTGCTCGCGTAGTCCTCATTTTCACATTGAAAAATAGTTTTTTTGAAAACACCATTTCAAGGCCAAACTGTGTACTGGATATACGCACAATTTTGTGTCTGTATGTTCCTGGATTCAAGAGGCAAGTATTAGAACATGTTCCAAAATGTAAGTGGATTCTACTTACAAAACTTCAGTGGATTTCGCGTACAAATACCTGTAACGTAAATTTTGTCGGCACACTGATTTTATTGCGGATTCCGCAACGAGCAAATATAAGTAGTTGTTCGGGATTCCACAAATGTAAGCGGATTCTGCAAATGTAAGTGGATTCCGCAAATTTATGCGGATTCCGCTTGCAATTTGCGGATTCCACTTACAGTTGCGGATTCCGCGACAGCTTAAATTTACTAAACACATTTATTATTGTTCGTTCGTGGATTCCAGAGACTTGTTCCGGATTCCACACGTTTTGTTGCGGATTCCGCAAAGTTGCCTGTTTTCGGAGCAATTTTGAGCAATACAGTGTTTTAGCTATTTGTCCGTGGAATCGAAAACAGCAGAGAAGATTAAAGAAAAATAGCAGTTTTGCGGTTTCCGGGACAAATCTGATTTTTGCCTGTTGCGGAATACGCTCACAATATTCAAAAAATGCACAGTTTGGCCTCGTAAGGACGTTTTTAGTGTACTCAATTACGTCACGCAGATGAAACGGACATCTTTCAACTATGCTAGTATCAATGATAACGGGAAAGAAAAACATCCCTTGTATGCAGTCAAAAAACTAATTGGTCTTGTTTCTCTGCATCTAAGTAGCAATTCAATTTCGGCAAAACTCCTCGGCGAGAAAGACTCAAACCCTTCGAACTCATCGCAATACGTCTCAGCTGCGTCCAAACTCAAACGTCCGCTACTCACTTGACATTCGGTTATTTCTCTTATTGGGGGAGCAGAACAAACATTGGCAGGTTGCGCGTATCCGTTTGCTTGTGACAATGCCACATACTTGATCCCAGAACTCGCAATTGGATCTCTTAGCAGTTGGATACCTCCTCTAGCGAACCAGAAAATGTTAGAATTAGGTTCATAGCACATGCTCATAGACATATCTCGAGGCTTGTGTGAAACCAATCGACAAGAACTGTCGTCTCGTTGCCAGGCGAATGAATCACAATCGCTCGTTTTCTCGCATAATTGATCACACTCGTATGCACTCCATGTATTGTCCTTTTTGGTGAGTATTTTCATGGTATCATTTTCAAATAGTTGTCTGCAAGGCTGTCCTTGGATTAGAACGACTTGACTGTCATCGCAACTATTTGAATTGGTCAAAAATAGAACAGGAAGAAAGATTAAATTGAAAAAAGATGTTGCCGCCAAACTGTTTAAATCCATGATATTGTTGCCAAAACACTGTTTAAAAATGAACTTGGGATTTTCCTCAAATTATTTCAATTGTGTTTTCGCACCAGTAATAATTGATGTACTAGATAAAACAGAATTGCTATAACTCAAGAAAACAAAAACGACAAGAGATGTTTTGGTGCCAATTTTACTGCAGGTTTTAGAAGAAAAAAAACGAAATAAAGTTTCCATACTTCCACCTTTTCATTTTTTGGACACTTCAAACTCTGTAGAAAATAGCATCTGTGTACTTGAGTAGCGACTACTGCCCGCCAACAGCTGAAGAATTTTTTTGTTCAGCCGGTCTTTAAAAAGTTTGAGTAGTCTGAGTAGTGGAGAAAACACTCAACTGCTCTTACTTTCAGCTGCTACAATTTATGCCAGAATTGAAAGCATAATTTCCAGTTTTCAATGCAGCGACAAAATTTTGCCCAAGGTTGGCGGTTGGATTCAAACAGTATATATGACCACCTAACCGGCCTAAAAGGCCGCAGGAAAATATAATCGATTAATATATATGCTTAGTATATAACAAAATGGTACAAGCTTTCGGTTGATATGTCCCAAAAACTCTTTTAAGACGCTTTTGACGTTGTAATGCAATAATTCGGTGAAAAAAACTGCTCGGAATGTTTTTTATAAATTAATATAACACAAATTGTGAAATTGGGTATCTTCTCAGCTTCTTCTAATCTAGTTTTAGAAATTAATTTGCTTAATTTAAGCCGTTATTACTTCAGCTTGTTTTCAAATTTGTACTTCCCTTCATAACAGCTTAAGTACAGTTGAGACCCAACAGGTGGCATGATTGTTCGTTTATATATTTCTTTCACTATTGAACTGGGTTCTTCGAGCAACGGGTTCGTTGCAGATGTTATTTTTGCAAACTTGTGCATAATTTTATTTAATTTCAACTTTAATTTAATTTCAATTTTATTTAATTTCAACTGAAGACGAAAACCAATTGATGTCTAATTAATAGTGCGTCAGCAGCATCTTGGAACTATAATTCAATTTTTGTCAGTAAAACCGTTCTCGGTTATTACTGATGCGATTAAATGGTATGCGGAGCCGACATATCGTCGATCGCCCTTTATTACAAAGTAAAATTCGCTCATGTTGGCGATACTTTGGTGCCGTTCATGTGGCAAACAAGACATCCGATATCAAATCATCCCACCCAAAAAACGAAGTGGAGTTTGGCCAAGGTTTAGAAAAACCCTCCTACTTCAAAAAACATAATCTCAGAGACGGCGTACTTGTGATAAAAGAAACGCGAGTATGTCAAATTAGGGTTTGGGGTCTGGAATCAGAAAAAAAGAAATAAATAAGGGTGCCTCTCAGCCATTAGAAGCTTTATTATAAAGGTGGAGCAAATAAACCGGCTTGTTGTTCCAACCATTGGAAATGGGGAGGAGCTTTGTGTTTGGTTGTGTTTAATTTTTTTATTTTCCACGCAAAATCACTTATCACAAATAATCATAGTCATGGGATTGGGTTGAGTGATATATCATACGAAAGTCCTTTTAATCGGGATTTGAACGACATTAAATGATTTGGAATGTTTTTTGGCGAAACAAAAATGAAAAAATCAATATATTTATAAAATTTCAAACTTAGTTTTTTTTACGCATATGGTCGGAACAATCTGTGCTACTTGCCTAGCAACCGGCTACCCTTGTTTGGTTTTAAAATTGAACGGTTCTCGCGTGTGGTTCATGTCTTCCATAGGTGACTACATAATCTTTGTAATCTTTATC